GCCACTGCACCAAGCAGCCTCCAATGGCCAAACGCACACGTCTTGCTTGTTAACAGTCGAGATGGACTTGGAGCTGGATGCGAACTATCGCGGCGTCGCGAGGGTCTGCGTGATTTTTAGGGACGTCACCTTGTAGCAAGCTCGTACTAAGTAGCTTGTAGTATACTTATACGTTGCAGAGGTGACGATGCGCAGTGTCGATATCGCTTGGTCAGGCAAATGTCCCTTGCGGTCGCTTGGCGTGGCGAATGATAATTTCGTGCGCGGATTGGAGGAAAATCAGCCAATGATAAGGGGGAATGCAAAAGCCGACCATTTTGCAACATGTTTGGGTTGTGGCAGTCGGAGACGCCGGAGCAGACGAAGGCGAGGGAGACGAAGGAGAAGGCGGAAGCGAAGGCGAGGGAGACGAAGGCGAAGGAGGTACTCGGACGACGACGCCAATGGTACGATGCTCATGCGATGATGTAGGAAGCGCTTCTCCGAGCTGCAGGAGGTGGCAACTTGGCTGCCGTCATCTCCTCTCTCAACGACCGCGTCAACATCGAGTGCTACGACAGCGTACTCTTCCTCCATCGATCCACCATGAAGATGGATATGTCTATGGGAGTAGGATGGTCGAACGCCACTGCACAAAGCTGCTATGTGTGGTCGTTTGGAGATTGTCCGCTTTTTGCTTGAAAAAGGCGCCAAGATCGAAGCCAAATCCACCGTACGTTGTGTGTTGTCCGAAACGTCTTTTCTTCATTCACAAATTTCACATATTGCGTTTGCGTAGTACCTCTCCACGCCACTGCACTATGCCTCGAGAAACAATAAAGTGGAGATCGTTCGTCTTCTCTTGGCTTACGGCGCCAACGTCGATGCGACAAGCAAGGTACGTTTGCACGAAATCCTCACTCATTTCCATCGTATTTGGACTTGTAGTTCAACAAAACGCCCCTCATATACGCTCAACAATACGGTCACGTCCAAGTCCAAGAGCCTTTGCAAACCGCCATGGTAAATTTGTTGATGCGCATTTGTTGGACTATCGGAATACAAAACTATACTTGTAGCTTGCCAAGGCTCTGCGCTACAAGCGCATTCTGGACGCCAACAGTCTCCTCCAGCAAGAGACGATCAACGTCAACCATCAGGAGCCAGTACATATGCCTCAAAGGGCTGCGCTTTTGTAAACGTAATTTTGTAGGACGGAACGACGTTGCTGCATCTCGTACTAGCGACGCAAGATCTCAAACTGCTTGCAACCATGCTTGAAAACCCCAACCTCGAGATCGACGCCACCGACTCGGTACACTAAATACTTCCATTCGATCCCTATTAATGGAACGAATTAGAGTGGGAGGACAGCACTTGCCATCGCACTTGCAACAGGCAGCATCGAGGCAACGTACGCGCTCCTCCAATCCAACGCGCAGCTTGACGCTGTGGACAAGGTGCACTTTTTCAATTCTCTCCTGCGATTTCCAACGACATCATAGAGCATCGTGGCAGGAGTCTTGCGCCACGCAGCGTCGACCAACGACAAAGAGATGGTGGCAGAGCTACTAAAGCACGGCGTGCACCCTGCGACAACCAACGAGGTACACTCTGCGTCTTCTCAACAGATGCTCACCATTGTTGTACCATAGAATGGCGACACGGCGCTTCACTTTGCGGCTGCGAACGGCCACATTGCGATCGTTCAAACGCTGCTCGAGAACGACAAGTCTCTGCTTGGTCGTTGCGACCAGGTACGCTGCATTGCGCAGCAATATATTTCATGCGATACAGAACGACGTCGCAATGAAG